TGAGGCCCTCTAGAGTCACAAAGTGCTGCACAAGAAACCAGCAAGTGTCTGAGAAGTAATCATTTGTGTTCCTGTGAGATTAATATTTTAAAATGAGTCTGAATGATGGTTTTCTCTTGCCGATTCTGTCTCGTCCTATCTCCCTATCAGATAGCAATCACTCTCTGTTCAATTCTTCCTCTTTCCATCTTTCTGTCTCTTTCTTGCCTCCTGTGACTCCAAGCTCTGCCATTTGCTCTCACGTTCACAGTACTCTCTGCGAATCACACTTGTGGCCTGTCATCCAGACTCTCTGCAATCTTAACTCGAAAGGAATGCAGTGTCTTAAATGCAATGCAAAATTAAATTTGTGTAATCTTATTTCTGGGGGAAATGCTTGTTTTATTACTCTTTCCTCTTTCTTCCGTCTCAAGGCTGTGAGTTGTTGCCATGATGGTGACAAAACAGTGCAAATTTAACAGCTCTGATTAATGAGTATCGCTTCCATGACACTTTATCCCTCCATCTCTCTAATTATTTACTCTTTCACTCTTTTTTCTCCTCTCTCAGTGTCTCATCAGCTGTGCTCTCGCTCCTGCAGACTCTCTAGCACCAGTAGGTAAAAAGGTCAGACAACACAGCCTGCCCAAGTTAATTGGATTGATTCGTCTCAGTCAGCCAGGAGTAAGAATATAGAGGTTTGTCTGAGCTATAGGCTACTGCAGATTTAATGTCTGAAAATAAATGCTCCTGGGCATACACTGATATTTTGATGCAGCATATGGTCTCTTCAATGATACCAGGATAAAGTGCTTGATCTGAGACATTTTGCAATATGGTGGGAATAATGACATGTGGGAGTGGGCGGCAGTCACGCCAGTGTTGCAGAATCTGCTTTGAAAAACATATTTCATGTACGGCCACTATGTTAATATATTACCATACTCTATCACTGAATCAGGACTTGGAACCCAGCATTGGTGGGGACGTAAGGATCTTTAGTCTTAAAGCAAAATAGTGCCTAATGTTATAGCTAGAAGATCACTAAACACAAGGTATAATGAACGTTACAGTTAAAAAAGTGGAAGGAAAAGCACAAAACAAAAAGAAATTATCAGCAGAACATATTATCAAGTGTCAGCATTAAAGGAAGGAGTAGCCTAGAAGAGAGGAGGTATTTCTGTCAAGAATAAAGGAGAACTACGCCCATTTTCGAAATTCATACATGTTATTTCTTTGATCTAAGACAATCCAAAAATATTACAAAACATGATCAACTGTCTCCCAAATCCAAAATCTGGATTGCTAAAACTCGTTGTCATAGGGTATGAAGTCTGGAGCTGCTCCACAGACAATAAATTGGGAATGATGTTCTAGATCAGTGGTTCCCAACTAGTCCAGTCACGGGGTCCAGATTTCTCCTGAGCTAGTTATACATTTAATATCATACTTGCGTTCGGCCATGTCGTTGTGCTAGTTTGCTGTCTCTGTTAAAGGATAACTTCGGTATTTTTCAACCTGGGCTCTATTTCCCCATGTGTACAGTACAGGCCAAAAGTTTAGACACACCTTCTCATTCAATGCGTTTTCTTTATTTTCATGACTATTTACATTGTAGATTCTCACTGAAGGCATCAAAACTATGAATGAACACATGTGGAGTTATGTACTTAACAAAAAAAGGTGAAATAACTGAAAACATGTTTTATATTCTAGTTTCTTCAAAATAGCCACCCTTTACTCTGATTACTGCTTTGCACACTCTTGGCATTCTCTCCATGAGCTTCAAGAGGTAGTCACCTGAAATGGTTTCCACTTCACAGGTGTGTCTTATCAGGGTTAATTAGTGGAATTTCTTGCTTTATCAATGGGGTTGGGACCATCAGTTGTGTTGTGCAGAAGTCAGGTTAATACACAGCCGACAGCCCTATTGGACAACTGTTAAAATTCATATTATGGCAAGAACCAATCAGCTAACTAAAGAAAAACGAGTGGCCATCATTACTTTAAGAAATGAAGGTCAGTCAGTC